ATCAGCAACAAAGGCAGGAACTGGGAGGTTGTTAGAAATGTGCATTCTCTGGGCCCACCCCGGAAGTTGTTAGAAATGTGCATATATTAAACTGGAAGCTCTGGAAGTGGATGAACAGCAGCAACCTGTGTTTGTTAAGCCCTCTTACCTGTTATTAAGAACTACTGTGGGGCGTCCCTAGTAGCATAAGGAGTTAAAACACAGCACTATGAAGCTATCCCCTGCCAGGAAGGTGACCCACAGAGCACAGCAGACCTCTCCTTTCTCACCCACTGCACTCCTCAGCAGTGTATTTCAGTAGTTTCAAAAGTGATACATTTAGGTAAGACAGGGATAATTGTTTCCTTTGCCCGTCACTCAGATACTCCATTCAGGTTTTTTCATTTGTAAAAGAGATGATAAAATGCATCTGGTTAGTAATATGCATGGTGGGTGGTCAGGTGGCACGCAGCTTCAAATCCACAAGTTCTGTGTGTATCATCAAAGTCATCCTCATCCTTCAGGTACCAGTAACAGGTACCACCAGGTTTCTTTAAATTTCATTGGCTTTGGGCCCATCCTTTAGGTCTCTATTATCCAAGTAATACCCAAATATCCTCTACAAGAACTGGCTAACAGATGTCCCAAACCAGTTTGAAAGTTTGAGTAACAGCTGCCTAACAGCAGGTCGTAGTGATTCGTTGGTAAATAGTGCTATTTTTTGAGCTTTCAGAAAATTGCATTTATGTGCAATATATTTATTGCACCTGCACACTTATAGTCAGCTAACATTGGTTTTGCAGTTTATTGGGAGGTTAATGGCTCATGTGACTAATGGGATGAGGAAAGTAAAAAGCAATGGAAAATAAAATCAACTTAAAGAAAGAAGGCAACATTTGTCAGCTCCTACTCCCAGTCAGGGTTGTGATACTTACTACTTAGCTATCACCACAAAGAAAAAACAATTTTTTTTGGTGTATTTGACAATAGGTGAGGAAGCACTTCTAGCAAAATTTGCCTGGAAACTCAAAGTTCCTATGTACTGACATTTGAAAAGTCTTGACAAGATAAAGTTTTCTGCCTGGGTCTAGAGAAGTACCTGGACTAAAATCTATGGGAACTATTTTTACTTAAACTGTTTGAGAGAAATATAGATGCACCTGTCATTTGTAAGCTCTGGCTTCAGAGTTCCCTTTGCTCAGATATTATTCCCCACAGTAATATCTTGCAAAACTGTAGTACATATAGTTGATACCAACATTGATATAGCCAAAATACAGAACAGTCTGCATACTTTTAAATGATTTGATCACTGTAATGAGCATTTCTACATTCCTGCAAGTCAAGAACATTCCTTTAAATTCCAAAGTTGCTAAGTGCTAAGTTGCTAAGTGACATCCTCAGCATGGAGGTGAGGCAGAGTCCAGGAGAGGTTACACAGTGATCTGAGAGTTAGCTTCTAGTGTTGCTTGCCTGAAGTATTTACTCATTTTTCTCCAGGAATTTTTAGGAGATGGACAGAATGCTGCAGGTTGAACCAAAGGCATTTAGCCTTGAAGGCACAGCTGCTCAAAAATCGCGGTGCTAAAGAAGTTTCACAACAGAGTTCTCAGTGTCATGGGGGAGGGGAGTGTCTGATTTACACATCTACTTTACTCATTCAACAAGCCCTATGTAAGGCATTCCTGATTGTGCAGGAATGGCCTGATTGCACTTGCTGTTCTGTGGACCAATTCCATAGATAAAGACTTTTGCTATCCAAATAAGGACTGGGTTCTCTTCAATTTATGCCACAATGTTTTAGAGCAACTTTGAGAGTTCTGCAAAAAGTTTGATAAAAATGGAAAAGTCTGGGCTTTCCCTGGTGGCGCAACGGGTTAAAGCACAGCACTATGAAGCTATTGCAACCACTGCAGCTTGAGTTCCCCGGCCAGGGAGCTGACCCACATGGCACAGCAGACCTCTCCTGTCCTGCCCACTGCTCCCCTCAGCCACTAGTGTGCTTGGTCAGTCTGCCTCTTTTGCTCTCCACTCTGTCTCTGGTGAATCCTCTCTCTCTCTCTCACACACACACACACACACACCACACACCTCTGACCTTTATCCCAGCTCTGTATACATAAATAAATAAATCTTTAAAAAAAAAGGAAAGTCCTTGGCAAATGTCTGAGGAAGTAGACAAGCAAGTGCGATTCCTCTCTCTGAAGGACATATTAGTCACTTTTGGAGAAATTATACTACCTCTTTCTAAATAAAAATATTAATGATTTGAAAGGAAATCCCCAGTGGACTCTGGAGAAGTCACATAACATTAAAAACATGTGGAAATGAGGCAATTGTTCAGCAAGGTAGGTAAAACACAAACTTGAAAATGGCATATTTCTATGTTTGGACATTTAGAAAAGCTTTTGGAAAAAAAAATCTAATACCAGGCACCAAAGATAGCTCCTTTCCTAAAATGACAACTTCACATGCTGAGGCATAGTAACAGGAAGATGTGACAGTAGGAAAAATGCCACCAACTCCCTAGTGTTAGGACACTAGTAGCTTTTCAAGTTACCATCAGTTCTCTTTGGCTTGACCCTTTAATGTCCAAAAGATAACTGGGCTCCCCATGCCTCTGCTACAAGCCTACAAAAATCATCAATGATGAACTGGCCAGGAATGGAAACTTGCCTGCTTAGAGAGTTTAACCAGCACAATAGGACTTTGTTATCCTTGTTATTTCCTTTCCAACAGAGTAGCTCAAGCTCTCCCATAGCACACATTCACTCCACTCATCCAAGGAATTCCACAGGAATCTGTGGGAAGGGGCAAGGTGGTTAAAAAGCAGCTGAAGTTTAACTTTTTCTTCCCCAAATACCACTATCCATCTCTTTTCAGTTTTTACAGCTTTGTGGGAAAAAAACCTTGGCAAAATAAAGTGAAGGGCTGTCAGATGAAAGAGATTGAAAATAGCTAAGAAATAGGCAAGAAGAGAAATGAGATAAAAGGTGCAAAACCAATCAGTAAGGAGTGTTCCAGTTTGGGATATCCTTGTGAAATTCAGCGACTATTTGTTGAGCTAGTGTATAAGGGCTTTGGTTTGCTTAATATAAATTGACCTACATAGGGAATTATTCAGATTCCAGAGAACAACACAGATAGTTTGAGAAATACAATAACACTTGGTTATTTTAGTGCATCAAGGAAAAAAATACACTCACTTACCTACTACAAATATTCCTATGGGGATCTCTACTGTCAGTATGTACAACCAAAGAAATAAGGTTTGTTGGAAGTAAAGGTTCTAGAAGAGGATTCAGCAGAATATGACCCACCCACTAAGGATGGCAGCAGGAAATCATTTACTCTACCAATCAGAACATCCTGTTTTTCTATCAGACACTCCAGTGCATCAAGTCAAATGCTGGTAGTCAGAAAATGTTTTCCTTGCATCTGTCTTTGTCGGCTCTTTGACTTTCAATGAAAACCCAGATCTCCAAAGTATGCATCTTGATTTGGAAAAATTGTCTGTTTCAGGTGGTTCAACAATTTCTATCTTGGCAGTTTTAACACCAGTTTAGTGAGTTTAGCAATGAGCTCAGCTACGAACCAAAAGCCAGAATGACAACTAGTGCTGGCAATCACTGAATGACCACAGGACTTCCTTCTTAGCCAAATGAAGAAAATGTGAACAGGAATGTCATGAATAATATAGTAGTTTCTCTGTTTTACCAGCTGTTGCAGGATATGGGTAAAGGGAGGGCAGGGAAGGATGTTCAATCATTCTAGTCATCCTTTGTGCCCATCCATGTGAAAAAAATGTCAAAACTGAGTCTAAGAATTCCCTAGAAACAATCTTAGTGTATCTGTATTTTAACTTACTTATTTTTATATTTCTAAGATAATCCTGTCACTCAAAACCCAAACAATACCAGAAGCCCCTTGTGTTCCTTTTAACCAGCACCTTGTTCCACTTTCCTTTCCAGAGATAACTACATAACTAGCTGCTATGCAGCCTTCTATCACTCCCCTGATGAAATGCTCCTTATATTTTAACAGTAAATACAGAGCAAAACAATGTGCATATTTACTTATCTTTTCACTTAAAATGTTTAGTGAGTTCTACTTACACTTTATGTCCACCCCTTCATCTAAACTTCCCATTTTGCAGAAGTAGAAACCCAAGTCTAAAGTAGTGAAAAAGACTTTCCTCAAGACTGACAGCTACAGATTCGGAAAAGAGTCCAGGAAGAAGTTTACAAACCAAACGAAAATCAGTTCTTCCTTATTGAACAGTGTTCACAGAAATTGCAAAGGACATTTCTCTCCGAACCCAATCTCTCCCACAACGACTTATTTTTTCTCAGTTGTTTTTCGTTTAAATGCAAATTTACTATTTTCCCCCATTTAGTTGTAATCAAAGCACAAATTCAACTTTTCATTTTTTCACTTAAATTAATGCGCTGTTCCTGTCCACTAATTTGAAATGAATGGTGACGTAGTGTTTCGTTGTCAGCCCCGTTCCCGTTAAAGCCAGTCGCTTCCTACGGTACCAAGGCGCTTCTCACAGACTTTCCCGTCTCCCTCGGTTTGCTTCACCTTCCCCAAGCTGCAGACTCAGGTTCACTCATTCCCCCCCCACCCCCTCAGGGCCATTACTCAACTCTTCCGTCTCCAATCTGGGTCTCCAGGGGCGTCGCCTTACTCTCCAGGGCCCAGGACGCCTACAGGTTCCCCGAGGGTCCCAAGCGGAGACTTCCCAAGTCAGGCCCGGGAAGTCCAGGAAAGAAAGGCCAGCTCCAGGCCTCTGGGACACCCCAGAATTTACTGGAGTAGCGAGACTGCGGGGTCCTTGTGGGGGGTCAGGTCGATGTTACCATAAGGATCAGCTCTGTTAATGCCACCCGACCCTAATGGAGGAGTTCGGGGCCCAAGGTGGGGGGCCCCGCGGCCCCTCCCGAACCTTCCTGGGCGTCGCTCGCGGCCCGGGCAGTGACGCGATCTCCCCGTGCCGGGGGCGGGGCTCGCGTGACGCCATCTCCGGGCGCCCGACTCGGGGGGGCGCTGGGTGTGGGGCGGCTCCGGGGCCGGGGATGGCGGCGGCCGCGGTGGCGGCGGCTCCGGGACGAGCGGGAGGAGCCGGAGGAGCGCAGTGAGATGGGCCGGTGAGTGTCGCAGGGAGTGGGTGTCGCCAGGCCGGCCTCACTAAGGCCAAGCAGGCCTGGGATCGGAGCTCTGCAGGAAGTGGCCCCCCAAGCCCTTTGCCCCGTCGAACCGGGCCCCAAGAACCGTGGACCAAGGGGGCGAAAAGAGGCCGCGCCCAAACCCCCGCGAGCTTCTCTCTCTGGTCAGCTCCGACAGGCGGCATCAGGCCCAGGCATCTCCGCAGCAGTGTCCCCGAGGGCCGAGATGTCCGAGTCCTCCTAGCGGGAAGGGGCCCCTGAACAAGGAAGCATCGCCCGCGGGGCCTCGCCCCTGCTCTTCTCCTTGAAGGGTCGATCCCCGCTCTCTGAACACACAATCCCCAGTTTCGGGCCCTCCCTTCGTTGGAGCAAGAATTGCGGCTTCACGGGGAGACATAACCCCCTATTCTCTTCCAAGTTCCCCTCTTTCTGGCCCGCGCACCTCTTGCCCTCCACGAATTCGGGTCTCGGGCTGGGTTCAGCCTCTTCATTTTGTACTCAGATGGCAGCGTAGGTGCTTTCCTGACCGGTCCCATTCCCCGTTAGCTCATTTGGGGTCACAAGTTGCATCTTCTCCTGAGAAATCGTCATTGAGCCTCTCAGAGGCCAAGGGTTCAGATTCCGAAATGTGTTTTGCTTATGGGAAACCCGTGCTCTGGTTTGACTCTTTGTTTGACTGTCATTCCCACAGACCTGCGGGAATGCCTTTTCAGCCCGTTTTTCTGCCGCTGGCTAAACCCTCAGTGACCTGGAGGCAGGTTTTCTTTAGTGTCTTAGTTTCAGGGAGTAACATCATTTTGGGATTGAGGATGGATACCCAACCCCCTTCCTAACTTCTGCTAGGATTGAAGGAGAAAGATTATTGCTTTTCAGTTACTAGAACTTCTGGCAAAGAAGGGATGCACAACCGGTGTAATTTGTGTTTATGAAACTAAGAATTTATCTTTACCCCTTGTTTTCCAATGGGGTCACCCTTTTCTGTACATTTGCACCTTGCTAATCTTGAGATAATCAAGATTATCAAGGTGTTTGGTGTTTGGTTTGAGGCCAGCAGTGCCTTATAGGACTAGGAGAACGTGTAGTTTGAACAGCCGGTAGTTTCTCAGAGTCCTGAGTACTGACCAGCACCACTTTCTGTTTTCAGAGATGAGGGTTCCATTCTTGAGTGCTTGAGGTTTTTGGCTTGTGTAGGTTCAGATTTTCATAATTTACTGTGTTTTGTTTCCCTAATTTACTGTGAGTTTTGTTTCCCTGATAGCTTCTTGAGGACCAACCTGGCTTATCCTGTTTCTGTTACACCTGATTAAGTACTTGTTACAGAACTGTCGCTCAGAAAATTTCATACACACACACACACAGAAGCCCATTTTTTTTAACCCTGAAAATTAGTTAATAAGCCTTCCCTCTGAGTGACTCCCCTTGTCCTCTTTTTCTGCCCCAGAAACATAAATAATTTTTCTCTAGTGCTGCTTTTCTCATTTAAATAACCTCTATACCTGTATCTTCATTATCTGAAATAAAGCAAAATCTGTAGTTATTTTTCCTGCTTCCTTCCTATTTTCACAGGGCATCAATGTTGAGTCTTCCATATTTTATGTTTGCATTTACCTGATATTGGGATTGAAAGTAAATTTAACCTTTTGGTTTAATAGGTAGAATTAAAGAAGGAAGACTGAATGAAGTTTGACACTTGGAACATTTTTTTCCAGGGGTTCTTCCCATAGATTAGAGCTTAAGCCATGGCTTTTCAACTGCTCATTTTCCTGGGCACTCTGGATAAATGTGCTGGACAAGAACAAGGCAGAGATTGGTGGACTTCAATGTCCTTGTGATTTTTGGAATGACCTGTTATGCTGACCCTCGGGAGTATCAGAGGTGAGGCTGGTGTTTACTTCATTCCCATTTCTGTCTTCTAGGCTCCCGAGCCAGCAGGGAGGACAGTGCTTCTTACTAGAGCTCCTCGGAAGCACCACTGGAAGCTCAGGTAATAGAGTCACTTTGGAAACCTGGTGGCAGGAAAACACCTAGGATGCAGCAGTGGCAAAACAACAGAGTGTAAATAGAGATTTCTTTGCAGATCCAAAGAACTGGAACCTGACTCAGAGAAATAAGTGACAAGCTCATATGCATACTGAAGTGTTCACCAAAAATACTTCTTGACAATAGATGAAAACATGTATAAAAGGTGACAGTAAGGAGGCGGAAAATGAAGTTTCTTAGGCTACTTGAGGTCCTAAAATAGGAATAAACAAGCATGTTGACAGGAAGGGAACCATAATTTTAGGAAGTGGTGTCTAGAGCAGATTTATGGTGGAAAAGATGCCTTTTGGCAAAGAAGAACAAAGGGGAAAAAAGGGAATGAATGAATCAGGTCACTTGAAAGTAGTCAATGAGAAGACGTCTGGCCAGATTAGGGACCAAGAAGTGTATGAGAGCAGAAGAGAGGAGGAGAAACAAGTTGTGGAACATGTTGGTATAAACACCTCCCTCCAGGGCCCAAGTTGGAATGTGGTATGGGACACACTGAGTGCCATGGGGAAGGAAGAGACTGATTTTCATGACATGTTTAGGGAACAAGGTGTCAAAGAAGATATCACAGGCAGACTTCAGGACTTACTGATACCTGGGTTCTTCAGGTAGTGGTGATAGGAGGCAAAGGAAGGTGAGAATTTAACTAGGCTTGGGGTGGGGGTGGCAGGATGGGCATATGTGAGGTCATAACCCAGATTAGACTGGGAAAGGATGTGGGGATGAAGTCATATGTTCAGGAACGAAGACAGCACAGTAATCTTTGGTGGCAGAAGAATCTTAGGACACAGAGCCAGCAGCTCTTGGTTTAAATCCCCTTTAGGAGAGAAGGCAGAGAACAGGCAAGGCCCCATCAGAGGCACAGCTAATCATGAAGCTCTTGTGTTGGTCTCTCTGGGGTTATTTGTGCATTGTTGGTTGAGGGCTTGCCCCCTAGTTCTTCCCGGCTTCCCGTTTCTGTTCTAGACTAGATGAGTCAGGAGGGCAGCATTCTTATCCCCATCTCATACCTCTTCTTACTCAGCAGTCCCCTTTGTTATATCTTCATCCACGGGCAAAGCTCCTGCTGTTTCCTTTGACTTGGTTTACCTGTAGGTTACTTTTCTTTGCCTCTGATTTGTTCCCTAGCAGATGTGGGCGCCCCAGCCAGCTGCAGAGCGGGGTGCAGGGGAGCCACAGCGAAGCCCCTTCTGATGCCCCAAGGAGCAAGCCGACCCTTTCCAGGCTCCAGGAACACCACAAAGCAATATGAAACCTGTTCATGAGAGGAGTCAGGAATGCCTTCCGCCAAAGAAACGAGACCTCCCCGTGACCAGCGAGGATATGGGGAGAACTACCAGCTGCTCAACTAACCACACACCCTCCAGTGATGCCTCTGAATGGTCTCGAGGTGTTGTGGTGGCTGGGCAGAGTCAGGCAGGAGCCAGAGTCAGCCTGGGGGGTGATGGAGCTGAGGCTGTCACTGGTCTGACGGTGGACCAGTATGGCATGCTGTATAAGGTGGCTGTGCCACCTGCCACCTTCTCCCCAACTGGCCTCCCATCCGTGGTGAACATGAGCCCCTTGGCCCCCACATTTAATGTAGCGTCTTCACTGATCCAACATCCAGGAATCCACTATCCCCCAATCCACTATGCGCAACTCCCATCTACTTCTCTGCAGTTTATCGGGTCTCCTTACAGCCTTCCCTATGCTGTACCACCTAATTTCCTACCAAGCCCCCTCCTTTCTCCGTCTGCCAACCTCGCCACCTCTCACCTTCCACACTTTGTGCCATATGCCTCACTCCTGGCAGAAGGAGCCACTCCTCCCCCTCAAGTGTCATCCCCAGCCCACTCATTCAACAAAGCCCCCTCCACCACCTCCCCACCTGGGCCACTGCCCCATCACCCAAGTACCCAGCCCTTGGACCTTGCTCCGGGCCGGATGCCCATTTACTATCAGATGTCCAGGCTACCTGCTGGGTACACCTTGCATGAAACCCCTCCAGCGGGTGCCAGCCCAGTTCTTACCCCTCAGGAGGGCCAGTCTGCTCTGGAGGTAGCTGCTGCCAATGGACAAAGACAGCGAGAGCGGAATTTAGTCAGACGGGAAAGCGAAGCCCTCGACTCCCCCAACGGCAAGGGCGAAAGCCAGGGACTGGTGCCAGTGGTAGAATGTGTGGTGGATGGACAACTGTTTTCAGGTTCTCAGACTGCACGGGTGGAAGTGGCGGTGCCGGCACACCGAGGGACCCCAGACACCGACCTTGAGGTCCAGCGGGTGGTTGGCACCTTAGCTTCTCAGGACTATCGTGTGGTGGCAGCTCAGAGAAAAGATGAGTCCAGCCCCCTCAACCTGTCCCATCATACCCCCGAACATCAGAGTGAGGGGCGAGGGTCAGCCAGGAACCCAGCAGAGATGGCGGAGAAAAATCAGGCCCGAGGTTTCTACCCTCAGTCCCATCAGGAGTCTGTGAAACATAGACCTCTACCCAAAGCAGTGGTTGTAGCCAATGGCAACCTGATGCCCACTGGAACTGACCCAGGCCTACTGCCCATGGGCTCGGAGATCCTGGTAGCATCAAGTTTGGACGTGCAGGCCAGAGCCACCTTCCCAGACAAGGAGCCAACGCCACCCCCCATTACCTCCTCCCACTTACCCTCCCATTTCATGAAAGGCGCCATCATCCAGCTGGCCACGGGGGAGCTGAAGCGGGTGGAGGACCTCCAGACCCAGGATTTTGTGCGCAGTGCCGAAGTGAGCGGGGGACTGAAGATTGACTCTAGCACGGTCGTGGACATTCAGGAGAGCCAGTGGCCCGGATTTGTCCTGCTACATTTTGTGGTTGGTGAACAGCAGAGCAAAGTGAGCATCGAGGTGCCCCCCGAGCACCCCTTCTTTGTTTATGGCCAGGGTTGGTCCTCCTGCAGCCCTGGGCGGACTGCACAGCTCTTCTCTCTGCCCTGCCATCGGCTCCAGGTGGGAGATGTCTGCATCTCTATCAGTTTACAGAGCTTGAATAGTAACTCAGTTTCTCAGGCCAGCTGTGCACCCCCGGGCCAGCTGGGTACCCCCCGAGAAAGACCTGAGAGGACAGTCTTGGGACCCAGAGAGCAATGTGACAGTGAAGGGAAGAGCCAGTCATCAGGTGAGGGCTCCCGAATGGTCGAGCCCTCCCAGCCGGAGCCTGGCGCTCAGGCCTGCTGGCCAGCCCCGAGCTTCCAAAGATACAGCGTGCAAGGGGAGGAGGCGCGGGCTGCACTGCTCCGCCCCTCCTTCATCCCACAGGAGGTAAAGCTGTCCATCGAAGGGCGTTCCAATGCGGGCAAATGAACCTCTCTCTCAGACCAGGGCTGGGACTTTACCCAGAGCTGGCCTAACGCGAGCAGGCAGAGGATTTGCACACGCCGAGCCGGGAATGGCTCTCTTGGCAGTGAGATTCGGGGAGCGAGGGGCGGCACCAAGGCGGCCTCCTGAAGCAGGGTCTGTGCTAATTACCCCATGGCATCCTTTCAGGATAGCCCAGGAGGGTGCTGTGATGGGGAGCAGCAGGCCTGGGCGGAGGAAGGAAGGGGGTGCACACAAGATAAGAAACATTCCAAATATCAGGGCCTCCCTGTTCTTTCCTCCCCGCCCCTGTCTTCTGCAAGGGGAAAGTCAGGCTTTGGAGCAGGTGGCAGTGGGAGGGAGCAAAGAAAGAGCCAAAAATGATGATCCACAGCTTATAGTAGCAGTTCAACTGTCTGAAGTTTTTTCCCTTTCTTTTTCTGTGGTGGGAGGACTGAAGGCCCCTTGGGTGGAAATAAGAGGGTTCCCACCCAGAAAGAACTCTTTTCTTTTGAGAGCTGTGCACTTTAAAGGGTAATTTTGTTACAGATATCTGTGGCTGGGTTTGTGGGGGAGGAGCACTCTTCCGTGGACTCCTCTTGATCCCCTTTCCCACCTCTCCTCACTGATCCTCCCACAAGGCTTCTAGAACCAGGAGAGAGAAGCCCTTCCGGCACTGAGAGAGAAGTACTGCCTTGGCAGAGACCCCGTCACGGGACTCTGGGAGACAGACGTGATGGCCAGGCTGCCGGGCTCTAGGCAGGGCTTCAGGAGAGGTAGCTGACCTGACACAGCCCCTACTCAGCATGCCAGACCTGCTTCAGAATTCCTGAATCTCTAGTCGGTAATGGTGACTTTTGAAAGAACCAGTGTACTGGTTCCCCCGGACCCCGTCCCCCTCCTGTCTCTATGTTGTGCCTAAGTGCCTGCGCTGCCCCCGCCCTTCCGCTGCCCTAACTCTGCATGGTGTTTGGACCTGGACCTAATTTGTAGCTGCACTGCCTTTCCCCTTCTGCAAAACTGGTTTTGTCCACTCTGCCCAAGACCTCTAGTTTTTGGTGTGTAGGGGTCTCCCTGGTTTCCCCCTCAGTTGTATTGCCTATTTTAAAACAAGAATCATGTCCCCTCCTCTTCTGCAGCTGACCAGCTTGGTGGAGAAGCCAGAAGGGAACTGCCCTGGGTCAGGGCAGACACCTGGCTGGGCAGGGCCTGCGCCGGCATAGTCACACCCCATCGGGCTTCTCCGAGCCGTGCCCTCCGTCAGCCCTGCGGTCCTGAGACAGTCTCGATAACCTTTCAGTACCTGAAGTCTCTTAGGTTTTGTTTCGTGGTGGAGTGTTCCTCTGCATTGAGTACTTTCAATCTTGGTTGCATTTGCCCCCTATGTCTTAAACCCATATTTTCTTCACTACTTTAGCATCAGCTTGGACTGTGGGATTCTACTGGGTATTGAGAATTTGACTCTCCCACCAGCTTTCAGGTGGGCGGGCGGGTTTTTGTTTGTTTCTCGGGGGTCTTTAGACTCTTGAAGCAACTCAGGGTATTGTCCACCCAGCTCTCTGGTGAGACTTCTCTAGGGTATGAACCCGGCATTTCCTTTAAAGATGGACCGGCTGGGGCTTCGCCTCTCGGCAGGAGTCCCAAACCTCCAAGGTCTGGTCTCTGCTCTGTGGAAGACTTTGGGCAAGTCTTGTGACCTCTCGCTTTTCACTTCCTCCCCAGCTGCCAAATGGGGAAAAATAATCTTACCTACCTCCTGGGGGGAGGGGGAGTTCTGAGAATGGACTCATTCTTAGTGTTCAGGTGCTAAAGGTTGTTCTCCTAAGGGAACAGTGACTGAGACTGGCTTGTTTGCTACAAGCCCCACACTCCACAGCTTCATTCTCTGAGAGCATTCACCTGGTCAGTGGGCATTGGAGGTCCATCCAAAGGCAACTGCTGACCTGACTGCGAGTATGTCAGTCTCCCATTCACCTCAGAACCAAACACTCAACCCTGTACGCATTTGGGATCATGTCTTTCCCTTCTCTGACCCCCTTCTCTCTGAATGCTGCTTTTGCTGGCTGGTTTCCTGCAGTGGGGGCTGGCGGGGCTGAGTCTGGAGGAATCCTTTCTGATGACTATCCCAGGAGAAGGCCCCCCATCTCTGGCAGTCCCACAAGCAACTCTTCACTAGGCTTTGTTATTCGCATGGGTCTCCCAGAAGCATCCACCACAGGAAGGCTCACCAACTGAATATAGTGACATCCACACAGTAGATATTTAAGAAGTGTTCATGGACACCAAACCAACTCTCTTCCTGGGAGCAGAGCTGTATCTACCCGGATACAGGCCAGGTAGTTGAAGTCAGTCACAGTCCACTTCCCAGCCTGGTAACATCCTCTTAATCTGGAAAGAGAAAACCTATTGCACCGGGTCAAGTCAGGCCCTGATCTTTCTGCTGCTGTTCCTCTTCTGTCTCTTGCTGGTGAGGCAATACCAGCGTCTCCCTTAATACCATGCTGTGCATGTGTGATATATAAGTACTTGGTTTTGCCGATTTGCTGAGCTGCAGAGGTGTCTTTTGTAAAGTATCGTCTCCCAAGAAAAGCAGCTCAGCTCTAAATCTTGGTCAGAGCTGTGGCATCCCCTCACCTTTTCCCTCTGATTCAGTCTTTTCTTCCAGGCATGAGACTAAGAATAATATATGGTGTGTCCATTCTTCCTTACAGGATTTTCACAAGTTTGCAGGAGATCTAAGCGTGGTTTTGAAAGAGTAGGAAGCTGTTAGCTTTCTGGGAATGGACAAGTGAAGGAGGCCAGATAATCCCTTGGCAGTAGGAGATCATTCGCAGAGCTTAGGGGTAGAAAGAAGGGCTGCAGACGCTACCCAGAGGCCTGTGCCTGTCAGGGATCAGGGGGACCATGCAGAGGATGGGCGACTTGTCTAGGTTTGAGTCATTCCTTCCAAAAGTAGTGGGAGTTGGGAGGGGGAAGAGGGCTTTGATCCAAGGCAAGTCGGGGTCGGAGCTGTGTACTCAAGACCATGGGGAGCCGCCCTGGCAGACTGGGCTGACCCCTCTGCTCTCGTGGTCCCAGATGTTTGTCACACCAAGGGCTTTGGTCTGTGCTGCTTTGCCACTGCTGCTGTCTGCTCCCTGTCCTGCCTGCTGCCCGTATAGATCCCTGTCCTCCTGTGTCTTTGGCCACATAGGTGAAATCCAGGTATCCTGTCCATTCTTACCTGTGCAGGTGTTACTTCATAGCAAAGTTCTGTTGAGTAGAGAGTATGAAATGCTGCTGGGCTGGTGAATCCAAAGGGACGTGGCCTCAGTGCTTGTTGGGAGCCCTTTGGCTCCAAACAGCTCTCTGTCTTGAGGGACTATTAGTGGGTGATTTCTGTGAATTAACTTCTTTCCTTTGTGGTAACTTACATCCTGTTTTTAAAAACAAACGACAGGAACCAGGTTAGGGCCTGTGTCAGCATTCCAGGGAGAGTCAACTAGCTCCAGTTACATGGATTCTGGGGTCTGAAGTTTGGTTGAAATAGTCCCTCAAATGGGGTTTAGTTTTATTTTTACCAACAGGCACCATAGGAGATGTAGAGGGTGGAAGTATGATTTTCAATCTGCAATAAGCAGACCTGTTGAAGAGTTGAGTAATCACACAGGAGATGAACGATGGACATGAGTTGCCTGAGAAAGCACCTGGGCCCATTGGAGTAAAGAGAATCTGAGTAATTGAATTGGCCGTGGGAGATTAGGCCACAACTTTGTAAGCAAAGTAAACAGGGCAGAGGCAAGTTTTAGTGAGGCTTCTTGGCCTCCTAGGGTGAAGTTTACTAGACCGCAGTGAAGCTACAATACTTTCCAGATGGGAAAAAGTGTACACTACAGTTGAGGAGCTAAACCATGCTAGGTTGGATGTTGACCAGGAATCTATTAGCCCTTTGCTGGGAAGCCTTCGCCCTCCAGCTTGCCTGGTAGGGCAGGCTTCCCACGTTATGCAATAATAAAATAAGCATCTGGGTCTTTGCAGCTGTCAGTTGCTCTTTCAACTCTAGGATCCATCTTTGGGCCAGAAACCTGGTCTGGGCCTGGGATGACACTGGCCCTGGAGATGCTAGAGCCAACTGCACTCTCCTTACCTGCAGACTATGCACAGTGCCTGGGATGGAAGGAGAGCTGGTGCCGTTTGCCCCGCTGAGCCTCCCCAGCAGAGCAGTAGTAATAAATGCACTTTTCACACTAAAGGTTTCTTATTAGTTCTTCTCTTACGCCTAGATTTCCCCCTGTAGGTTGCAAATTCAAAGTCTGTGTGATCCCAAAGCCACTCTACTGCAAATGCCCAGCAGTGAAGGTGGCCTCGAGTTGGGTTCCTGTCTGCGGTGTGTGGCAGCAGCCCTTGTGCCTTTACCTATTGTCAGACTTGCATTTATTTCTGTCTTTGACTGTCACGGGGACTGAGGCTCTTCAGAGAGAGAAAGCTGATGACAGTGGTTTTTACACCCACTCCCTGGACAGGGAGTTTGCACGAAGTTGTGAGTGGTTAGTGCATTGCTGGTATTGCTGAACGCAGGGTTCATCCCTCACTGTCTTGATACTCACGTTTGAAAGAATCTAGATTGTGTTGGGGAAGAGACTGACAGTGCACGTGGCAAACTTGAAGTATTAAAATACGGCTGTCCCCTGCAACCTTCCTAGTCACACACAGGATCCCTGTAGCCAAAACAGTGTATGTTCCAGCTGCAGAGAGCAGACTGCTCTCAGCTTGCACAGCACCTTAGGGGAGGGAAGAATACATGGATAGGGAATGGGGTGGAGAAAGGAGGACGGGAATGTTGTCATCCAGGTGGCTTTAGGGTCCTGAGAAGTGAGAAGGATGGCACTGGGGAGGTCTGGATGGATCTGATTTGTGTAGGATTCCCTGTAGATAAATTACTGATCCCCCAATTACTATCCCCAGTATGTAATGGCTGAATTAATATGTAATCAACTGCATTGTATCTAAAGCCTTAGAACTAGTCAGGTGCTCCCCCCACCCAACACCATTTCTTACCCTCTAATCCTACCTGATCTTTAACAAAGCATTAATAATTCTAAGGATAATCTCTATTTTGTTGTGCTTTTTTGTAACTGTTTTAAATAAATCAATTTGTACTGTATATTTGTACTTTTGTGAGATCCTTTTTGCTGTTTTACCATTTTAAGTCTCTGTACTTGGCTACACACAGATTGTATTTTTATTGTTAATGCTCTTCTTATGGATACCTGCATTTAACTTGTGGACTATGTAAACACAATATATATATCAATATCTATATATCTATATATCTATCTATATAAACTACTAGCTTTTCTTTTTGGTGTTTGCGCCTTCTTCCTGTTGGGTGGGCAACAGAAGCTGTTTGTGGGGGAGCCTTAATGGAAAGCAAATGGTGCCACCTTGCCAGGGTGGACTGCATGAGCTAGTTCTGAAACAGGGTCTGTGTGTTCTTTTGGTGTGTATTTCAGAGACCCCAGAATTCTACCAGTAGTCTGAGACACTAGCACCATCTATCACAAGGTCCTTAGAGGTCTTCACTACTTTACTTCCTTTACTCAGGAAAACTAACAAATTACTGGAATAGGTCCTCTGTAATCACAGCTGCTACTTCTAGCTTGAGAGCCTGCCAGTAGTAATGAAATACATAAATGTATTGAGCACTTTGTCCACAAACTACCCTAAGTGCATTATATATGTTACCAATTACTTGTTGCTAGTATTGTTTCCTTCAGGTCCGTGGGGAAGTCAAAACAGAGGGTAAGGAACTTGACCAAAGTTATACAGCTATGAAATGGCAATGCAGAATTTTAAATCCAGGCCTGTAATTCCTAAACTTTGTATTAACTTAACAGTTTGTTGTGAAAATTAAATGGGATGTTCCACATAGTAATCACAATAATCTTTGACATAATGTGTTCGGCCATTCTGAAACATCCCGAATAGGACTCTGGAATGGAGCTCTGTCAGAGGCATGTCACTCAAGTACTTTCTTTTGTATGTCCAGTACTTTAAGAAACCATTAATTTTTTTTGGTATTTTTCAGAATGGAAATGTTTCACCCTGCCTCATAGCAATTAACCTTAGTTTAGTGGGGGCCAGTTAACAATATTGAATAGCCTTGAACCTATGGAGGTCAGAGAGGAGTCTGAGTTTCCTTGTTATGCTATTGGGAGAGGTCCACATTCCTGGCATAGTTATTTTTCTGGCTACAATTTAACTAGGGCACTTCCTTCTGGACCTCAAGATCTATAATTATCTAAACTACACACAACCTTTGGTGCAGGCCAAGGAAAGTTCTGTGCTTGTTCTGTACCATTACAGATACTTTTTAGAAATGACCTCAGTCCCGTCTCCGCCATGTCTGGCAGCCGTCCATGCTGCTGGGAGTCCCGCTGCTCCAGCCGTGACCACTACTGAGCTCTCCTGTCACCTTGACTCTAGGTTTTGCTCAGTGAGTTGTTATCCTGCCTCGGCTCTAGGGAATAAAGAAAAAGATGGATTACCCCCTCTCTTCCACAACACTTCCCTGGTACCGCGGGCCTTAATACTGCTTCTGTTTCTATGAAGCTATTCTTAGATGCTACAGACTGCTGACTGAGATAGATTTTTTAAAGTTTGACAAACCAAATTCTGCTGGGAAGAGTAGTGGGTGCTTACTCTAAATACTGTATCCGCTTTAGAAAAAATGTCACTCATGGCCCTCCCTGGTGGC